AATGGTAGGAGAAGATGAGCTCTGAGCTGCTGGCCAAAAAGGAGGCAAACCCCGTGTCTTCTGAGCAACAGGGCAAGTACTAAACCCCAGTAGGGTCAGGTTGGAGCATGAATATTGTTTTGTTTTGAGGAAGTCTATTCCTGGATATTTTATTTCAGTAGGAAAACATGATTCTTAGTACAGAGCCCTGAGTGCCACTGTCCACTGTCTGGCGACTTATTCTTCCCAGTGACGTCTGCATCAGTGAATTGCAATGTCAGCATCACTGGCTAGCCAGTAAGTGTCAGGAAGCAAAACCACGTGCTCATGTTTGCTGGGCAGGCTTTTAAAAAATCACATTTGTAGTATGTAGTCTGTTGCAGTGGTCCTGAGACAGCGAGCTTCATGTTTTCAATTATTTCAGAGAAATAACTTCCAGTGCATGAAGTGAGTAGAGATGTAGCCAATAAGTACTAGCTTAGAGGTCAGGGGAGGTAGTTCAGCAGAGTAAGCAACTGTGGGGCAAGCACCAAATCTCAGGATTGATCTCTGGTAATGATTAAATAAATGCTAAATCTAAAGTAAGTGGTTTAAATGTTTCTTGTCACCAATGGTTTACATTACACATTTTTAATGACATGATATAAGTGATTCTAAACATTGTAATACAAAAAATAGCAGAATATAATTAAACTTTTAAAATTTTTTCAAGGTACATATTGTCTACAGTCACCCTTTGCAGTCCCAGGTTTAATAACAACTGACAGTACAAATATTCTGACTCAGGCACATAGATAATATGAATGTAGGAAAAATTACATAAACATAACTGAACCAGGCCAGCCTGGCCTAATCTACCCCAAGAGGCACAGAGCTCAGGACTGAGACTGGGCGTCATGGTGTGCACCTGTAATTCCAGCACTTTGGAGGCTGAAAAGCAGGAAGGACCAGTACAAGTCCCATCTGTGAAGTGATACCTTGAAGACCCTGTACTAAAATATATAACAATAAAATAAAATAAAAACAAAGTTTTGGTAAATGAAACAGTACACTATAAAATAACCTTAAAAATACAGAGAAATTTCAAAATGCAATCATGAAATGTATGGATAAAATGCTTTAAAATAAAGCTATTATTATCACCTTTCCTTAAACAAAGGTTATGGAATACCACAGGTTCAAAATTGATGGATAATTTTGATTGCAATATTTTGATTTCATTTGCTTTTGAATAACACAAACATAATACACAGTAATATATTTTAAAGACATTACAAATCAGAAGATGTAAGGAGAAAGACAAAGAAGGGGCTGGTAGATGTGCCTGTTCATGTCACAGAAATGTGGGTCTCTAACATGGCTCACAGGAGCACCCTACCATGTATTACTGCACACAGGTGTTGAAATTGGTAAATTCATTCACATTTCTATTTCTAAGCTCTACATAATGAGATTCAGACTTTCTCTCATATGCAGAATACATGTGAATCTTAGACGATATAACTACATTGAGATGATTGAATATTGATATTTAAAGTGAAAAAAGACCATACAGGGAATCACAGAATTTATGGTGAATATGCATAAGAAAATGCATAACCACCCATCCAGCAAGGGATGCAGGAAGGTGTCAATTACAGGCAACATTGATTCCTCTTCTAAGCTTTTTACTGTTTGTAAATGAAATTGAATAAAACATGAGATGTTGTAGGAATCCCAGGCTTGTTGTGATAAAAGGAAGCATTAATAGATTGTCTT